TCTTTCCCAATTTGTTTTTTCATTACCACAAGTAGATTTCATGTAATTATTTGATAAATGGAAATGTTTGAAAATTTAAGTAATTGCTATTGTCTGATTTTGCCAGTCTGTTCAGTTCTACCCTTTCTTATTAATTGAATTACCTCACTGTTCAAGAGTTCCAAACAAGCGCACACTTTTCATGATTCATTTCAATCACTATTGTCCAGAATCTTTGCATAAAACATTAGATAGAGCCTGTTTTTGTGCAATAATCTGATGGGTTAAGTGGCAATTTTTTTTCCAATGTCCTCGAACTTGATAAAGTTTGAACTCATGCAAAAAAAATCTTGTTATTTTTCTATCTTAGGGTCCTTTTGGGGCGGCGGTGCGTTGGTGGTCCGGCATTACACCGTTGTTTTGTCTGTTTGGGTAAAACAACTTTTTCAAAAAGCTGCCGCTTAAATTTGCGTTTTCCCACCTGTCTTGGCTAGGTGCGGTGACAACTTTCTAGCTGCGGTATGACTTCTTAAAAAAAAAAAATTGTAATAGCCGACATCACTTTTTAAATATCAAATTATTTTTCAGCAGCTTCACAGCTGTTTTTTAATAAGCCGCAACTGTCCTAAACAGACCCTTAATTCTCAAGTTAAACTAAGTACAAAAATAATAAATTTGGGATTTATTTTTTAAAGGTATGGAAAACATTTGCATTCCTTTGTATTTTTATTTATTTATTTTTATTGCTTCAATAACTTTATAACTATCCAAGTCTGATGGAAAGTAATTTTATAACAATAGAATGAATGGAGTTGTTTTCAATAACTTGTTGGGAGAAACAAAGCCTCCACTGCAACTTTCAAGCCAAATAGTAAGCAATTTCTCGATGATAATGTTTCCTTTTTCTTAGGAAATTTCTATCCTTTATAGGGATCTTGATGTTTGACATGAAAGATGACGCTCTATATTTAAGTTTATTTGAATTAAAAATTATAATTATCCTGTTGTTCAGATTTATTTCACATTTTAAGTCTAGGATTTAATAAATTCTTTTGATTTCTTGAGCAAGAGAATTTGCTATGATATTCTTCATTAATCTTTGTTTAAAGATTCTAGCCCAGCTTATCTTGATTGAAGAGTGATTAAATAGACTATTTTTAGCAGTTTGTTAACACTGTAGAGGGATTTTAATTAATTCTTTTAGAAGCAGTCAAATAAGTTTAGTCATCATCTCTTGACGGGTATAAACATGCTCAATGGGTTGAAAGGATATTTTTTTGAATTTACCTAAGCTATTTTGCATTTTGGAATTTAATAGCTCAGCTTAATGCTACAAAGATTGTTTTATGTTCTTATTTTTAATGTATATCCAGAGAGGAAATGAGGTATATATATTATTTTTGTTGAGTAGCTAGCTATTAAATAAGATGGTTGTATATTAACTTTAAATGAATTTAAAATTTAATTTTTATGAAATTTGAAATAAAATTTAAAGTGACATTCATGTGTTGATACAGTTACATAAAATAGTTATAGTTTTCAAAGTCAAATTGCCACATCTCATATGTTTATTCTTCTATTTGATATATTTGAATTCAAATTCATAATTATTATAGCGTGTCATAGGAAAGTTATAGAATTTTTCAATTGTCTTCTCTTAAAGCCTTGCACACTATCAACATGGTTTCAAACAACTTATAATTTAACTACTCTTTAAAATTGATAAATCTGCATACAATCTTCATAAATGATTTTGAAATTTGTAGTACACTGTACTGATCAAGACTGTGAATTTCAGTTATTCTTAACTAGATAGTTTATGGATGCGCTTGCAAATATGAAAGTGGGATTTTATGATAAACCATGCAATTATTTAGTTATTTATTTATTTATTTATGATGAATGGAGAAGTGGAATAATTGTTGACTGATTTCTTTCCCCCATCCCTAAATTTGATTTTCTTTTTCTTTTTTCAGGATTAGTTGACACTGTGAAGTCAAAGGTTGTTAACTCTGAATCAGAAGTTAGAAGTATTGGAAAAATTGAAATATTAGTGGAGCTTGTAGATTCATTCTGGAATTATGTACCATCACAAGAAGCAAATTTGAAATTGCAACTTCAAGGCCCTAACAACACAAGTCTTTTGAAAACAACTTTTATTGAGAGTAAAGATGGCCTATATATTGGCTATTATTTACCAACTTCTCCAGGGAGTTTTAACATTTGCGTCTCATTTGAAGAAAAAATTCTATCGCCTTGTCCCGTCAAATTTCATGTGCATGAGAGTAAGCATAGAAATTATAGCATGACAGCATTGAGTTTCACTTTTTTTATGCAAATATATGAAAAATATAGATGTTTGATAACCAGAGTTTGGGAAGTGACTTGTAAGCATTTAATGAAGAAATAGAACCTGAAAACTGCAATTAGTTTAGTGATATTTTCATTATTTATAAATTTAGAAAATCACAATGGAATACGTCACAGAAGACTTTGCCATAGCTAACACCATAGGCCTAGTTAGCAGATTGATACTTATGCTCTGATCATTATGCTTATTTGATTTTTTTTATAGGAGAATATAATTTACTACATGTACACATAAAAATATGTCAGCACGAATCTTAAAGCTGGTGGACGGCTCAGGAAGAAGATGCAGACAATCAAGCGTAGCCTTCAACGACCATTTCCAGATGAGTATTGGTGAGGAAGGCACGTTATCTTAACGATCAGTAGAAGGCGCCAAGAGAAAATGTTGTATGTTGGTAATCAACCTTTAGAACGGTCAATGAGAATCACTCTTTCGGATTATAAATCACTCGAATCAAGGCTTGACAGACGATCAACAACCCTCATCGATCAAATCGCCCCTGATTTTATTATATGCAAATAACTCGGTAATTACCAAAATCTTGCCTCTTAAAATTTAATAATGAGGGGGCTAATATATGCTTTTATAATATTCGGACCTATGGGGGTCCATATTATGAATAAGGGACACCTTTTGACTGTCTAGTACTGCTCTCTCTTTCTCTCTCTCTCTTTCTCCCTCTTAATCATTTTCTAATAGAATCTTCCATTCCTTGGGTATATTTCCCTCACATTTTTGGATTCAACACTATCCGATTTTGATCATCTTTGGTTTTTTATCCTTTGATGCCTCCTTTCATTTCATTTTCATTGACATTAATATTCCTTACAGTTTAACTTATTAAACCTTTTACACTTTCTCATGTATTATTTCAAGTGAATATTGGACTAAAAATCTAAATTATGGTATGGAGGGAAATATTTCTTTGCCAAAGTCAATACTTCAGAAGATTTTGTTTGAAAACCTTTATGAAACTCTTGATGTGTATTCACTTTTCTACAGACTTCAACCTTTATAAAACTTTTAATGTTTATTCACTATTTTACAGGCGTATAATTATTCATGCAGGGATACTAAATTGCAATGCACTCTTTGTTTATATGAAAGACTTAAATATGGTCAAATGTCAGTAGAAAGCCGCATAGAAATTTGGCACTAAAATATGGGTAAAGCTAAAGTAATGGTAGTTTTTATCCTGCATGGCTCAACAAGCTCCCCATGAGGTAGCTCCGGAATTTTTTAAGGCAAATAACATTTGACAAGGCAAAATTAAAAAAAAAGAGGAAAATTTACATATATAGCACACTATAGTACTTTGGTGCTTTAAACCAATACATGAAAATGTGTATTTCACTTTTAAAAAGTGATACTAGTGCTATTTTTTATGTGATATTGAAGATTTGAGTGTTATCTGTGTAAATAAGAAAGTTTAGATGTAAGATATGTAAATACATAAGAATTGTGTGCTATGTATGTAAATGCCCCAAAAAATAATTATGAAAATTATTCTATGAAATGGAGCCCAACGCCACACTCCTCGTCAGTTCAAACTTTTCTCAAGCCTTAAATAAATTAAAGGAATATTCAAGGAAATTCAAACTGTTAGTTGGAATGGTTTAATCTTTTATCTCAATGCAATTGTGTTATGATAATGAATCAATCCAAGATGATGATAAGGAGGTCAATGGAACTTCGGATTTGTATCTCACATATGGTTTTTTAATTAATTAAGAAAAGAAATCAAATCCAAGATTCTTACAAATTGAGGTTTTAATTGCAGGAAAAGTTTCATGCAAGCATGGGGTAATGGTTTTAAAGATCCTCATAAATATCTAAGTTATTGTGTGTGATCAATTCACAAACTATGCAAGAATCTTCCAATATGAATTCAAGAGAGAGAGAGAGAGAGCATGGGAGATATGTGTGATTATAAGGCATAGTTATATCCTGGAAACATTTTAAAATGTTTCATCAAAACTCTTTATTTGGTTGACAGGGAAGCAGCAACTTTATTTCTTTATTCTATCTTCTTTATCCAAGTATTCTACAGCAATTCTTGACACAATTTAAGTTTTTTTATAGGTAAGTACTTTCCAGAAGCTAATAATGACAGTGTTTCCGTTTGGGAGGACGAATCAGTTGTTTTTGATGTATTATTCAATGATTATGCTTCAGATGGACAAGCTAGCCTAAGTGAATTTTCTAAAGTACGCCATTGTTCTCTATCGCTACTTATTTTGCTTGCCTAGTAAAAATATTGTATAAATTGCATTGTTGAACCATCCTTAATTTATCATTTTCATTTGAATGTTGACATGGAAGCATTTTGCATGGTTTCAAGCATGTGAAGAAAGAATGAGGAAAGGGAATTAAATTATTATAAAGCTTTTTCAACCTCTACTTTCTATGAAATATTTGCCACTAAAGCATGGGAGATATAAGTTTATATTATTAACTTTTGGGTGTTTTGGAATGTTGGTAGTTGTTCTCTACCAAATAGCACTATTGTTTGATAGCCAATACAGTTTATTGTTAGCTTGTGTTCCTGTTTGTGTTGTGTTACTTTGTTCACAGGTTATAGAATGATTCTGCTTACTCTGAACCTGATGTTTCAAACAATTTACATGTGATATCATTAGATCAGACATTTTTCATAATTTACAGGATGTTTTCTTTAGACTGTTGATGGCTGAAACTTCAAACATATAAATCATATTTAAATTAAGAAGTGCCTGTAAAAAAAGCTAGCTGTCACTTCGCAACAACAATATCTTTTAACTCCCCTATCTATATGATATTAGCACTTGTGTTTCAGGAAAGATTGACAAACATAATTGCCTTGTGGACGCAAAACAGAAATGACTGATAGGGATAAATATGCTGATTAGGTCCTTTCTGTTGTCCAATTTTTCTCATCAAGATGTTATTTTGAAGTGCTGATGGTTGTGATATCTTTCCTTTTCCGTTTTTAAGTGGGCTTGTTGGAAAGGATTGTTTTGATCCCTTTGGTGGCATCATCATAATAGAAAAAGAAGGCACAATTATGTGCCAAATATGAGGTCTGTAGTTATGATGAGATTCCCTCGTTTACCTGTGTTAATTTTTTTTCTCTTGTAAAGGTGTAATGCTGATGATGTTGGCACTCTAATTTTTTTTTCAATCTTCCGATTGAAGTTTGAAATTATTGTTTTGATGCCCTTGATAGCACGAGGTAAGTTGTAAAAGGTTGTACTTTTAGGTGCCAAATCATTGAAAACCAAGTAGTTGGGAAAGTCTAATTGCTGAATCTAGATTTATGAATCACACCCAAAGAATAGATAGTAGTACAGAAGAGAGAGAAAGAGATGGAGAGTGCACTATAATGAACAGTATAATTGAGAAATTATGTAACTTTTAGTTCATGAAATAACCCCCTATTTAGTCAAAAAGGGTGTAATAGGTGAAGTTAATTTATGCTCCTATTTGAGTAGGGACAATACAGATTATTCTAAATATTTCACTCTTGGATTGTCGGATCTCCTCGAGATCTATGCTGGCATAATTTTTGTGTACACTAATAATGATGGCGCTCTATGCCAAATGTGCATATCTTTTGTAAAGATTCCGCCTATGTATTTCACCCTTTCGTGATTATATTATTTGAACATGCCAACTCTCATATCAAGCATTTGAAAGTTATGAGTGTGAAATCTAAGTTTAATTTTCTTTGGCAGCCACTTCATGGATCACTCTTACTAGTTGGGAAACTTTTCAGATATACCCCTTTTAAAGGATATTTTGGGAATGATTCCTTCTTGTACAACATCACTGATTCAAATAACAATGTTGCTATAGGTGCTGCTTTCATTTCTGTCCTTTGCAAACCGCCTCAATTTGTTTCTTTACCTCTTCGACTTAATGTGACTGAAGATGTGTTGAGTCCTCAGTTTGGGTGAGTAGCCTTGCTAGACATGTTTATGGCGCACTCATTAGTGATTTGTTTGGTTAGAATATTTTCTATTTGGGAAATTTACATACATACTACACAGTTCTTATATATTTACGTATCCAACCTGCAAAGTTTGATTTTTTACACTTTTAGCACCTTAGTGTCATAAAATTATGCTTGAAAAGGTGTATTTCACTTTTAAAAAGATAGTCATTATTATGTTTTATGTGATAGTAAAGATTTGAATGGTTTGCATGTAAATATTAATGCTTAGGTGTTAGATATGTAAATACATAAGAATTGTGTGTTATGTATGTAAGTGCCCCCTTCTATTTTCATTCCTTCAGATGCTTTTGTGTGCCTTAATGTCTTGTTAGATTTATTCACCTCTATCTATGCAGAGGCTTTCCCGGTTTTGAAATACGGTATTCGGATAAAATGGAAAATATTTCTCTTACGATAAGTGCGAAGTTTGGTTCTGTTTATTTAGCTCCGAGTCAGATTGGAATTTTTGAACCAGTGGGCGGTATGCTTTCAGTTAGGAGAGGTGGGAGGGCAGGGAAGGACTTGGTCTTAACGGGGCCGATTGAAGTTGTTAATTCTGCTCTTCAGTTGATTCAGTATCTCAGGTATTCTTGTTATTCCTTACTTGAGAAGTATGCTTGCTATTTTATAAGAAGCTATGTTCTGTCATATAATGTTTTCCCTCTTGCTAGTTCTAGTTAACTTATTTTGATCAGTTTTTGTCATTAGCTTGTAGTAAAGCATCTTAATATTTCTTGCCGTTAGGAGTTCTAAAATTTTATGAAGGCTTGTTTGGCATCACTAAAATCAAAATGTACTGTTTTTTGGTTAGTTTGGTTTGATTTTGGATGAACCAAAGTATAAATAATTTTAATAATGAACCAAGTTTTCTTGAACATCAGTAACATATATTAAAAAAAATACAAAATAATATTTGTTAAAGTTTATAATTTGATGTCTTGAATAAATACTATTTATAATGATATTTTTGTCACTTGTTTACTTATACCTTATGAGTTTTATTAGCTTAATGTTTGAAGACATTAGTTTAATTGTTCTTTTGTTTGATTAAGTAAAATCAAATTTATAACTAGAATTTGAAGAAATTCAAAATTATAACTAATAACCGAATTGATGCTTTTGTAATGGTTGACTCCGTTCAGTTTTCTGGTTTCTTCCAAACAATGCACACCTCTAGTTCCTGATTCTTCCAAACAATAAGCTAAGCCTGGGCTGTGAAATGGGCAGTAAATAGGTTATAAGAAATATAGTTAAATTACCAATGAATCAACAAGGCAAGATGAATGGATCAAGTTAAGAGTTTTCTTAACCCTTACCCCCACCCCCACCTTGCTTTAATTTGTGAATAGAATTTACGACATTTTGTGGGCATTTCAAAAGTGTTTTTGAGTTGAATAGCCAATCTGAAGTGAGGGTATTTATTTATCTATTTATTTTTATGGTTTCAAAACTTAGAGCTCTCCTTTATAGAACAAAGGAAATGTCACTCAGCTAAATAGTTAGTAGTATGAAGTGAATATTATTCTAGACTCTCCAATATTTTAGAAGTCTAAAGGTCCACAACAACAACAACAAGTCTTTATCCCACCAAGTGGGGTCGGCTGCATGAGTCTTTTTCTCCATTGCATCCTATTGAGTGTCATATTTTCATGTTATTCTAATAAATTTAGATCATTTTTTATACAAATATGCCCAAGTCTTTCCAGGCCTACCTCAGCCTTTCAAATGAGAATTTTGAAGGCCGGAGGGGGTAAAGATTCTATGTGAACGGCACTAGTAGTAGTCTAATTATAAACATTTAAAATTAAGGTGTTGAATTTACAGGATTTGTTTTACAATATTTTTTAAACTACATATGTAGTGTATCAGAAAATAATAATATTAATATTAGCGTTACTATTATTATTATTATTATTATTATCAGTTTGGTGGTTATTATATTAACTCCATCTAAGAGCATAGATACTATAATGCTTCTATCTTGATGCATTAAAAGATCAATGCAAAAAAGATGTAGAAGCACTTCTCATCTAAGTAAAATGCAAATCAATGAGCTTCTGATGTACTACAACAACAACAACAACAACAACAAAACCTTTATCCCACTAAGTGGGGTCGGCTACATGAATCATTTTTCTCCATTGTGTCATATTTAGTGTCATATTTTCATTAAAATTTGGAATATTTTATTTCTTTTAAGTTTTTTGTGGAAGATTATGAATAATAGGTGCTACCCAATATTCTAGAAGGTGAGCTCTCTTATTTTAAAATCATTTATCTCGAAGGTGGAGTTTATCTTTTCCTTATATGCCTATTGATCTTTATTATACTATATCTTGAAGCTGGCATAAGCAATTATCATTAGTTTCTTTTGTTTGCTGCAAAATGGTTAATATTTTAACATACTTGTAATGATCATCCAATTTGATACTGATAAATATGTAGTCGATATGATTGAATTGTACAAGTCATTTTCCTCTTTGGTACCTGTAATTCTTATTATTGATTAATATTAATATCTATGCTACTGATTTTATCACATATTCTCATTTTCTGAGAAGCTTACTTTCTTGCTTGTTAGTAATGAAAACTTCTATGGAGACGATACGATCAGTTTGTATGCGACCAATAGAAATGGATTACTAGATTCTCATGTGCCGGTTTTTGTTAAGCCGATTAATGATCCTCCAAAGATTCATGTGCCCAAGTTCATAACACTCGTGGGGAAGGAAGCAAGTGATGGTTTTCAAATCTTTGATAAACAAAGAGATATCTTTGAATTCTCAATCTCTGATAGTGATATCTTTCATTACACAGGTACGTTGCTATGCCTGGAAATTTATAGGATCATTTTTTATTTTGATTTTTGATATTGTTTTACTTTCGTTTTAATTGAAATAAAAATTTTTTTGGTGTGTCATAACATTTACTTATTTTCTTTCAAATTATTTTACAAGATGCAAAACTGTATTTGAAATTATAAAATTAAATTTATTAGCATATGGTCCTCATTGTCATATTTGTATGGATAAATGTCAGACCACCGAATAGCACACTTCAACTAAGATTTACTAAACCTATGATATAAATCAACCATATTTACACATATACCTAACCAAAATTGTTCCACCTTTGCTGTAGATGAAATACTCTCTACAACTAATCAATTCCATTGACGATTTTTTAAAAAAAAGCATCATTAATTATTTAAGGTGATGCACACACACATATTTAAATCGGATCAAACCGTCCGGTTCAGTCGATTTGACCATGAACCAATTATTAGCCAGACTGATTAGCATAGAAAAACGACCTAATATTGAACGAGTGAAAACTAGTTGAAACCCGCGTTCAAACTGGTGAACCGTCAAACAAATCGAGCCTTTTGAGCTTAAAATATAATATTTCAGCTTTTAAAGGTTTACAAAATCTTATATATGATAAAAAAATTTAATTAAACAAATAAACTACTTACTCATCAAGTAGCTAAAAACTTCAACTATGAGCCTCCTTTTTTTCAATTTAAATTTTACAATTTTAATTTTTTTTTCCTATAATTTGATGCTAAATGAAGTATGTAAATAGTCGCCAAAAAGGAGAATTGGGCTACCTATGGAAATTGGGCTGCGAAAATTGATAAACATATTATAAACTTATTTTTATTTATATATTTAAGGTTAAGTTATTTATATCTATATTTATGGTTAATCATTATATAATATTTATGGTTAATCAACTTCTCAACGAGCTCCATGTCAAGCCTCAATCAAGCATTTTAATGAGATATTCAAGTTTTTTAGTTTAGAAATTGATATTTTTGCATAAGATTTTTATTTCATAATGTATCTCTCTTAAGCTATGTACATTGCATAATTTTAAATTCATTTTTAGTCATATTTAAATAATTTTATTATTTATTACATCATCTATTTCATCACCTAGCACAAATAATTAATTGTTGGATTCATTTCTTGTTTGGGTTAACATAGGAATACTTTGTATTTTGTTAACCTCTTTTTTTTCCTTTTAGGTAATAAGTCTCACTTGGTGGTCATGTTTTCTGTGGAAGTAAATGATGGGCTTCTATCAACAACTCTTCCTGTTCATCTAATCAAGACTTCTGAATTGAAGATTAAAAGCAGCAACCAATGGCAACCTTTGCAGACGTTTGTAACCATTGATAACCAATTTGTTATCAAAGGAAGAGGAGTTCGTTTCCAAGGGACAATTAGGGATTGTAATAATGCAATGCAACGACTATTTTTTCAGGTATTTTTGCATGTTAAAATGGTCTAAAAAATTTTAGCTGTTTGCATTTTAATACTATATTCGTTACATTATTGAAACCAACCTTTCCACTCAATTTCAAAGTTTTAGAAGATGAATCGCATGTGTTGACATTAAAAAGTTCTAAAACTATGTCCAAATTAGTCTTGCATGCTGAACTTGAACAAGAATATATAAATCAAGTCTAACACAAACACACTGTTCACGAGCAATTTCGAACACGAGCTAATTTCAAACAGAACTAATTTCGAATGAGACAAACACGAGTCAAGCCAGAACTAGCTCAAGCTCTGCTCGTTTACAACCTTACATATATCACTCATTTTCTATTCATTAGATTGAACTTTTCAATGTACTGACATTTCTTTCTAGTAATTCCTCAAACTTGTTACCATAACTACTTCGTTTATAAAAAAATGATATAGGAAGATCTACATTCATAACACTAAATTCCTATTTATTTACATATCTAACACCTAAACTTCAATTTTTACATGTATGCCATCTTACCCCTGTATGAAAGTGTATTGACATTTTAAAAGTTAAAATGGTGGTATTTATTGTGCGATATGAAACCTTTGGGCTGTATAAATGTAAAAAAAACAAAACAATGTCTAAGTGTTAGATATGTAAATACATAGGAAATGGATGGCATGTATGTAAATGCCCCAAAATTATATTTTTGGTTGGAGGGAGGAGTCAAAGTTCTTATCGGAAAACCAGGTATTAATGTCTTCTATTTGTTTCTGATTTCAGGGCACAAATCTTGATGCACTGTTGACCATCACCGTTAATGATTTGGGGAATTACGGCTGCTACTTGGATTGTACGGATATCATTTCATTTCCACTCTCCGTGGAGGTCAGCGTGAGTTTACTCAAAAGAAGGCCGTTGACTTCAACTACAGCTTTTTGTAAGTTTTCATTACTGATCCAATAAATTATTTAAATTTTTTTTAAATTAGAAAAAGTCAAATCATGATTTGTCTAATTCTATTTACTTTTCAAGAACAGAATGCTTATTAAATCAAATGACGAAGACAATGTTATAAAATATGATTTTATTCTAGAAGCATTTACATACATGCCGCCAATTCCTATGTATTCACTTATCTAACATCTAAACATTAGTTTTTTTTACATTTAGACCGCCCAAATCTTTGATATTGCATTAAAAACACCATTATTTTAATTTTTGAAAAGTAAAATACACCTTTTCATGCATAGGTAAAGCGGCGTGCATGTAAAAATTGAAGTTTTGGTGCTAGATAGATTTTTTTTGGATAATGATGTGCTTCTCAGTCATTTAGACTAATGCTTCCATTACTGACAGTGATATTAGGATGATAACTTTCTAGGCATGAATATATGCTAAATTCCTTTTTTACACTGCTATTTTAAGAGAATTTCATCTATAACCCTAACAGCTGACGGTGTGACATCGCTGTTTTGCAGTGCTTGGATCTGCCATATTTTTTGAAATTGCAACTTTGTTTCTTCTGGGCAGTTTACTTCTATTCTTCATCTTTAAATGCATGGTAGCACTTCATACGGAAAGAAACAATGGTGATAACCCCAGAGAGGAGCTCACTGAAAATCATAATGAGAAGGTAATCTTTGCTTCTCTTTTGATTCTTCATGCTCGGTAACTAGTGTTTGTTCAATCATGCACTATTCTCATGCAGTTTTACAAGATTCGGATATGAAATGTAAATTAAAATTACAGTATTTATTGTTTTTGGTTTGTTAGTGTAATTATAAAGATTTTGTTTGTGTAGATTGATATTTTACCATTCCAGAATGCAATGAATTTGAATAGAACATCGACTCGTTCGCTATCAACCCCACTTAACTTCTCGAGGTCTTCGAAATTTCGTCGAAGGTAACCGTGTGATTCCTTTCTGAACATTTTGTAATTTTGCATGCAATTTTGAGATTGTTACTAATCCACTGTATAGACAAGTGGGGGCATTTACACACGTATCATCCAATTCTAATGTATTTACATATCTACCAAGTCTTATTTATAAAGATTTTGTTTTTAGCAATATTTAAAGGAATTGGTTGTTGCAAATGATGTTATTTCAATACAAAACTATTTTAGAGGGTCCATTAAATACTAGGGGATTTACATATCCAAGGCCTAAATGATGTAATACATATTTTACATATCCCAAGGCCTAAGTTTTCATATGTATGTCTTGGATGATTTGCTTGCATGTCACTCAATTCTTATGTAATTGCATGTCTAACGTTTAAAACTTTTAAATTTTTACATATTACCGCCTTGCTTATGCATGAAAATGGTGTATTTCACTTTTTAATAGTTCAGATGTTGATTTTTAAATGGTGATTTTATTTATTTATTTGATATGAAGGATTTGTTTGGTGCAAGTGCAAAAATGAAATTTTTGGTGTTGGATATGTAAATACATATGAATTGGGGCATATGTATGTAAATGATAAGATTTATATACATACACTCAATCATGCATGCCCCCTTCCCTATGCATGAAAATGGGCATTTCACCTTTTTAAAAGTTAACATAGGGTGCATTTTGATGTGATATGAAAGATTTCGGCGGTAAAAATGTAAAAAATGCAAAATGTAGGTGTTCGACATGTAAGATACAGTTAGGGAATTGGGTGGTATGTATGTATAAGGTTATGATGATCGAGAATTTGAGTAAACTCGCTTAGAATTTTACTTGCAGATCCGGTCGAAGAATTCGTCCGAAGCAATCTGAAATGCCACTATCAGTATCATGTGCTTCCAACAATTTGAAGGTTAGTTCTGCAAATATAGAATTGCAAACGAAGCCTCAGAGCGATTGAAGCAGTGTGCCTCTAACTATTTAGATCTTTGTAATACAATCACTCTATTTGGACTGTAGTTATGTTTAATAGACTCATATCATTGAGAATTTGATAAAAGATTGATTTGTAAATAACAAATTTCAGGTGATCTTTATGTAATTGTCCCCGGAAAAGATTAGTTGATATTTTATGTAGGCATTTGCAATTTGCACCTCATAGCTAATTCACTTTTCATATTTAACATCCACTAATTATATATAATGCCAAAAATTTCATATTTAATTACATAATATCTTATTGTTTGGATCACTTCAAAACATAAGCATGGAAATTAATATTTTTAAATTAAATAATAATATATTAAATTAGATTTGAATGATGTTTACTATAAATAATAAGATTTAAATCTCATCATAATCTTTAACATCTTATGACGATTGTGTGATTAGAGTTATCAAAACGACTCTTTGATTGTGAGCAAATGTGTTTTGAGTCGCTAAGCAAATTAGCCGAACACGAGCGAGTCTGTTTGACTCGTTTACACCCCCTACATATAAGAACTTCTTAGCACTTAAGATAACCAAAAACAAGATCTGAGCGTTAAAAGAACAGAATTGAAACACCATTTGATCGTTTTAACAACTACAAATTAGCAATTGGCTAAATTACAAGCATAAAAATAATAATAATTTATTTAATTCACATAAAATATATAATTAGAGAAAGGATAATGTACAAGAAAACCGAATCTTCCCTCAAATAAAACAAATAAAATATTGACAAACCAAATCCTGAAGAAAATTCAAACTTACCACTGAAAAACTAAGTTGTGAGACTATCAGGCAGAGAAGTGAGTGCTCCCACAACCTTACCACCAACATCAGGAAAGGTTTCCTGCTCTGGTAAGGGGCCAACCTTACCATCAGCCTCCACCTTCACTGGGTACTTGAGAAGATGACCTCTCAACGGCTTCGCGTCCTCCGCCGCATAATTCTTCCAGTTCTGTTCGGCGATTTGGTTCACAAATCTCACGCAATCGAGACTGTTGGGTTCGTTGAATCGGTCGTCCACTAGGCCTAAGTGCTCCGCCCATAGCGACTTTCTGTATCCATAAATCTGCAGTTTAAATCATCCATACAGAACTTTCAGTAGAGATTTTGTAGGAAGAAATGATATTTTGTTATGTTTAAGAACATCTACTTTAATAATAAAGAAATAAAGTCTGTTTGTGGGTAGTTTGTGGGTATAATTGTTATGAATTTGTTAAGTTAAAAAAAAAAAAAAAATTGTTAAGTTGCTATGGTTTTATAGACTATTTTTTCCGTCTGAAAACTTTTCTCCAATCAATTCTTATGTATTTACATGTCCTAAGACTGAAAGTTTAGTGTTAGATATGTATAAATACATAAGATTTGAGTGGTAAATTCATAGATATAAATGTAGAACTTCAATGGGCATTTACATTATATATTTACATATGTAACCTCTAAACTTTCATATATACATTTATAATACTCAAAACTTTAACATCACATCAAAAATACCATCATTATTAGTTTTTTAAGAGAGATTTAGACCTTTTCTTGCATAGATTTATTGCACCAAAGTGTAATAATGGTAAATATCAAAATATAGGTGTTAAAAAATGTAAATACATAAAAATTGTGTGGTATGTATGTAAATTTCCCAAAAATGCAAATATGAAGGTGACTGACCTGGCCATGTGGGTGCTTCTTCTTCTCAGCCCAGGTGTAGTGGGGTTGGTAAGCACCCATGGCTATTTCGGTATCTCTGGAGCCAGCTAGAGATCTTTGGTTGATATTAGCGGAACCCAAAATAACATATTCATCATCTACTATCATCCCTTTTGCATGAACATACACCATGAATCTCCGGAACTTTTGGGATGAAGCCTGAAAATTTATAAAAAAAAAAGTAATAATTATAATAATAAATTTTATTTCCACAATAAAACTCTAAAGTTATTTCTATGGCATTGGCGATTTATAAAAATGGAATAGGCTATTAAAAATTCACATCTGTCTAGAATGCGCAGCGTGAGGATGCATTGCGTCACCTTAATTACTTCATATTTTTGCATCTAATCATTAATTATTCACTAATTATTTAAGCTAATTGAATATATAATTATTAGGTAAATTAAAGCTTAATTTGACCAATTAGTTAAATTCTAGTTAAGCCAAATGAGTACTAGTTAGAATCCTAAAATATAATTCATTAAATTTTACACTAGGTTAATTAAAAGTTTATTTAATTAATCTATATTTAACTAGTTTAATCAAGTCTAAGTATGCTCAGGTAAGTCATTGGATACCATACTAATTCTTAATCAATCATAATTATCCGAGATAATTAATATTCTAACTAATGTATGATTAATTAGCTTAAATAGTTGTTGACTAGTATAAGTAGGATAGGAACTAAAAAGCAAGTTAGGAACTAAAAAGCAAGTAAACTCATTAATCAACTTAATTAAATTGCTTAGACTCGAATCAACTTATGAATCTAATCCCATTTAACTTTTGCTTACAACCAAAACATTTTCACCACTAATTTGAATCAAAAGAAATCGATAACCAAACAAAAATAAGATTCTAATAACTTAGATTTTCTAAATCTGAAAATTTTGGAAAGGTTGATTGCGTTTAGAATGGCTTAAAAGATAACGAAAATAGCATGATTTTCCATAGTAAAATACATTCAGCAGCATAAAAGACTTAAAAAGGAGCACTTGCATACATAGCACAAAATTCTTATATATTTACATATCTCACAGGGCACTCGAATCTTTAATATCACATTACATATCTCACACCTAAAGTTCCATTTTATGCACAGCTCGAATCTTTAATATCACATATACCATCACTTTTTAAGAGTGAAATGCATTTTTTCATCCATAAGTTCAACGCACCAAAGTGCCACGTATGAAATATGAAAGTTTAGGTGTGAGATTTGTAAATACTAAGAATTGTGTGCTAGGTGTGTAAATTTGCCAAAAAAGAATACTCCAAAGAGATTACCGCTGAACTTTTCTCCAAAGGTTCACCACTTGGCTGCTCCCTACTTTTTGGCAGTTCTTCTCGGTTACCAAGACAGTAGAAATTCAGGTAATCTTGTGGGTGAGCTTCAAGTTCCATGCTTTTGAGTTGCTGCGCGACAATGCTGTACATCATCTCCATTGTTTGGGCCTGCAAAGGATGGCATGATCATTTACCACATAATTAAGCAGCATTGAATCAATTTTTGATAGAAAATGTAGCCGTTAGCTGCTATTTGGTTCACCATTTTCTTGGGCGTCATCTTACGCAATTAACAAATGTTGGGGGTTTGGTTTGCTAATTTCGTAAGGTTTTGTTTGGTTCATGATACTCTTCAGGTCCGGTATAGGAATATGAAGTCCTACAAAAAGTCACTCTAAAAGGACTAACAAATCCTAAGTTGCACATTTAATCCATCATCCCAATCCAAAATTGTGCTGAATTCCACAAGCCTTCTTCCCATCAGGTTACAGATTATCTCATGATTACCAATCCCACTAAAACTAATCATATCGTGAATCAAACTCCATAAGATTGCAACTCAAGAAGTCCTGAGATTGGCCTAACATCAGGATGGTGAACATTTTGATGGTTAAATATCACTCAATTCCTGCCTATTTACATATTAAACACCTTACCTAAGCATGAAAAGGTGCACGTCACTTTTTAAAAGTAAAAATGATGGTACTTTGATGTGTAATGAAAGATTTGGATATGTAAATACAATGTGAAAATTCAGGAAGGTGGGAACGGCAGACCACCGACAAGGATCCTGGACGATTGAATTGGAAAACAACTTTAGAAACTCCTTCATTTGTTTTTATTCTCTTCTTATTTATATTTCTTTTATTTTATTTCAGAATTATTTCCTTTCCGTATTTAAGATTAGATATATTAGGGAAATTTATAAATTAGAACATCCGTATGAATAATGGAAATATGCAAGTATTTTTTCCCCCCAAAGTATGTTTTTCTTCACCTAGGAATTGGGTGGCACGTGCGTAAATGCCCCTAAAATATATTAGAAGAAACAATCAAAATCAAAGTCATAAATAACAGTCATCTTCACGGTTGATGGTAATAAATGAAATAGAATTTCAAAAAACAGCGCACAAACAATCCCAAAATTTCTTGCTAAATTTGAGTAAATCTTGGCAGCATTGATGTGCCATTCCGCAAATTCTATGGATATGACACACCATAATTAAAAAATGATTTTTTTTAGCATTTTGACTAATCAAATACATATGGGGGTGCCTATATCAATAATATAAGTCACAGCCACATAATGAGTTTCAATCACTAACCAATGGAAGCCGAATACAGTATTTATTAAGCAGAATGCAACTGAGCCTTTGCAAAGGTATATCAATTTGATCATGCAAATAGATATGGAATGAAAAATAAAATGAGTTTCAGATGGCGGTAATATGGAAGTTCTCTCGGCCCTATCATGCTTGTTCCTAGTTTTGATAGAATACTTGA